CACATACACCACTGAAATAAAGTGTATTACACCACTTTTCACACCTAAATCTTAAATATTTTTCACACTTAATGTATTTCACGCCCACTTCTCTGCGAACGAACGGCCTCGGCCAATCAGATCGCAGGAAAGTGGTGCGACTGTTTCTTCGGCCGACAGATTCACTCTGTCGCCGTTCCAGCAGAATTGTTCTGCCCATTTTTATTATATCTTTTAAAAATTAATTTTAAGTAAAATCACTAATTCGGCCCTTAATTCTAAAATTCTGATGAGGAGGTACGCCCCGTTCCGGGGCAGGCACTCCGTAAGTTACATGCCACTTGCCACTTGGAGAGGAAACAACTTATCAACGGATTCGATGTTAAAATCTAAATTTAAGCAAGCGTAACTTCTAAATTTTAGGTTGCAAATTCTCTCTCTCTTTTTATGCAAAATACACGGGTTTTCTTACTCAACTGTAAACATTTTAATGCCCTTCAGAACAATGTATTTAATTGTAAGATATTTCTCAACGTAAATGGCAACAAAAACAAATTATGAAAAAAATTTAACTCAGAATATGTAATGCGATTGCGCTTAATCTCAATTGACCTGGACTTCGACAGTTTGTTTGAAAAAAAAAGCAAGCATATATGCCAGTTACTAAATATAATGCATGGGTAGATGACACTTGGATCACAAATTAATATTATTAGTAAGTAAATTATATTTAAAAAATTAGATTAGAATTTTTTAATAATAAATGCAATTCTTCTTTTAATTGCCTTTACATAAAGTGTCTGTAACATGTTGATCTACTTTAAATATTGTTTTGAGATATATTCTTCGAAGTATGTGTGTGTGTGTGTATGGAGAGAGAGAGAATGGGGTTCCATGGAAACACTTTTTAGTTCTATGGCTTCCACGAAAGCAGGTTCAAGTTCTCGGGGTTCCATGAGTTGAAAAAGTTTGAAGACCACTGAGGTACAGAATCAATGATTCGTATTGTAAAATAGTAAGCTCTATTTAAATTTCTTTTCTTTATTTTAAAGTAATATTTAATTGACTGTTTAAATTATACAATAGTTACACAGATATTGCTGAAAAATCTCTTCCATATTTCTAACGTCCGATTTATTTCAAAATATAATTCATGTAATTTAAATTTACATCTGATTACTTAATTTACTTGCTGATGCATAATCGTTTGTTGTTAAGGTATCCGACTACGTTCGGAACCATGATTTTAAAAAAACCATAAACGGATACTTTTCAGGATATTTAGTGTCACTTAGATTAGAATAGATGCATAAAATTGTTTTAAGGAGATTTTTACAAAAAAAAAAAGACTATTTAAATACAATATTTTGGTAAAAAAGTAACTTAGAATAACCTTTTTTCAAAATGTTCTCCTTTTGTGAAAAATACTTCCATTATAATAATATTTTGCCAGTATATAGCTCAGACTTCTGTACAGAGGCTCAACCATGATTTTTCAAAAATTCACATTTTCAGAGTTACATACATTTGAAATAATTATCGGCGTTTTTTTCTTAAAATTTGTTCCCTCTGTTGTCGTAAGACACGGATAAACCCACTTCTAAGTCATATATTTAAAATTTTTTAGCTGAGCCTCTGTACAGAGGTCTCAGCTATATACAGGCAAAATATTATTATAATAGAAGCATTTTTCACCAAAAGAGAATATTTTGAAAATTCTATGCTCCTTTTTTGTCAAAATATTGTACTTAAATAATTTTTTATTGTAATAATATTCTTAAAACAATTTTATATACATTTTCTAATCTAAGTGACACTAAATATCATAAATATTATCCATTTGTTTCCTTTGCAGAATCACGGTTCCGAACGTAGTCGGATACCCTAAAGTTTTGCTGCTTAAGTTGGCATCTTTTAAAATTATTCTAAATATGTTTTTTTCAATTGGAGAAAAGAAATGTAATGTGTAATCGACGCTCGTTGAACTTGACATGTAATTAATTTTTATACATTTTCGGTATAGTATCATCAGTAGCGGACACAGGAATTTCTCAAGGGGGGGTTCGGGGTCGAAAGTTCACTATTCTTGTATCATGCTCCTTTTCATTTGTTCGATTTTCGGGAACAAAACACGGTAAAAAACTAATTATTGAATAAATAATTAGCATTAATTAATAAATTAATTATTAATAACAAATACTTAATTGAATGTTTCGTACTATATACTTAAAATTGTAATCAATCGGAAAAAAAAATTAAGGGCTTTGGGGGTCCGGACCCCCCCACTTGTGTGCGCCACTGAGTATTATTCATCTGCATGTGTTTAAGATCATTTGAGTGATTATTAAAAAAAATGCGTCTGTAGAATAAACTTTTGTGTTCATATTATTAACAGATGGCGTTCTAAGATATAGCTCTCCGTTCTTTGTCAACTATTTACTACAATTCGCCTTTTGGGAAATTTGCATGTCTTACAAGGACTAACTAACGACGTCCAGTCAGAGTTCAGAGTATAATGGTAACCTAGTAGGCATCTGTACTTCTTGCAGAACCCAGTGGCTGGTGAGTGCAGCGGGGGGTCTGACTAGTCTGAGAATAACTTCTGTCGTTCCATCGTCCTCTAGCGCAGCGATACCCAGCCTGTGGCCCAGCGGACTGTTTCGAGTGGCCCGGCCATGGCCACTTGCACTAAGAAATTCAATTATTTAAAATTTAAAGGCAACTTCTATGAACCAAATATATCAACTTTGCTTTCGAAGTCGTACTGGTACGAACTGGAGATACGTTTATTTATTTATTTATGTAACTGCAACGAATAATGATAAGAAATCACAGTGGAATAACGACTATTTTCTGGATGGAACCAATTTTTAATTAATCATGTCTTCCAAGCGAAAAATATCCACAAGAAAATAGAGTATTTTTCAAGACGATTGGGAACTTGACAATTTCGTAGTGAAAAACATAGCTCAACAACTTCTTTCATTTGTCCTGAAAATGTTGCGACGGATCTATACGCGTTTTTCCATCTAATCCTTTTGGGAAATCTTTAGGCTATGAATTTGCGTTATTCACAACCAACCCTTCGGAAGAAGAGAATCGTGATATGTAAATTAACTTACTATAAATAGGCGAGGTTTTCTAGCTTGAGGGAGAGAAGGAAAGAAATATACTCGAGCTAGATGAGATTGCTACTAGAGGTATAATATTAGATTTATAGTACTTTGATTCTTATTGGAAGCAAACCTTGAAGTGACGATTGCTCACTAAGATTGAATTAAGATTAGATTAAATCGGATGGTAGGTTAGATCCTTAATTAAAGTAAGATCAAGTTTGTTAGTCTCCTAATCACTCACGTTATACTGTTGTTGTTCCACTTTCACGGTTATCATTGAGACATTGCCTTTCTACTATTAGTTGAAATTGTGTCTGTTCTGAATCATGTCGAGTGTTTCTTCCCTCCCCCCCCACACATCTAGGTGCCCGCGAGAGAGGCGCGAGCTTCTTACAATCTTATATTTAAAATATATACATAATTTTGCTCGTTGTTTTACCTCACAAAATAAATCTTTCAATGACTCTTATCCTCTAGGATCTCTTTCAAGAGGCTATAAACTGACTTTCTTTAAAAAAATCGTTGTAAAAGCAACCGAGCATTTTGTCTGTGATAATGTCACAAAATACAGAATAAAGACATCCTATGATATTTGTTATATATTATTGATAAACGTATGAAATTGTGTATTCAGTAATTAAAATCAAATAATTTCAGAAATAAAAAAGTCCAACTCTCAGATTCTATCTGTGCATCACTTACTGAAGATATTGCGATGCATACTTGTGATAACTTAATTAAAAACAAAAAACTGTAAGCTTTCGTTTATTTCTTGATTTTAGTATGGATATTTCAGCATACAAAAAAAACATCACAATGCTTGGTTTTTGTTAAATATTATATTGAACAAAATTCAATCTACGAAAAATTTTTGAATTTCCTTCCAATGAAGCCAAACTAGAGGCGTATAATACGTTGAAGTTTTTTTTTCCACTTTTTTAGAGCAGAACATATAGATATAAAAAATATAGTGTGTGCAGTGGCGCACACAGGAATTTTTCAAGGGGGGGTCCGGGGTCGAAAGTTCACCATTCTTGTATCATGCTCCGTTTGATTTTGTCGATTTTCGGGAACAAAACACAGTAAAAAACTAGTTTTTGAATAAATAATTAGCATTAATTAATAAAATTAATCATTAATAGCAAGTAATTAATTAAATTTTACGTACTATATACTTAGAATTATAATCAATCGGAAAAAAAATCAAGGAATTTGGAGGGGGTCCGGACCCCTCCCCCTTGTGTGCGCCACTGAGTGTGTGTACTACATTTCACAATTAATTCTAGCCTTCGTTTTTAGACAAGCTTTCATTGGGCATTATTACCAGATGCAGCTATGCATACTTTCATTAGAGTTTTAACTTGGCCTGCTATATTCCTATCAAGTGTAGTATATGATGCTAAATGTAGACATACTGGCATCATTTTTTCAATAACTTGCTGCAACAAACCAGTTTTCATGGAACTATGTAATCCTGGGGTTTATTTTTGTCCATTGGTCTTTTGTACATACCAGAATGATTCCCTATCCATGCTTTGGTTTTTTGTCGGTATACAAACAATACATTAGGCTGGCATAAATTGTATTTTTTATTTTTTTTTGGTGTCTGTACATTATCTTTTGTTGCATTTCTGTAAAAATTTTGTAACTTGATGATATTTTTCAATTCCTACTATTAGTTCACACTCTCCCTATACTCTCCAGTTCAAATTTTCAATCGTTAATAAAATACTTTTTATTCATCCACTCAAGTTCAAATACACTTTTTTAAACTTGTAGTGGATGACACTTGATGTTAATACAGTTTTTTCAAATATTCATTCATTCATTCTATTTAATAAATGAATAAATAGTAACAAAAATACTAGTTCAACACTATGTAGAAAAAGGAAAATTACTCGGTGTGTCCCTGTAGCGCAATGATAGTGCTTTGGAATACTAATTCAAAGGTCGTGGGCTCGAATCCCACCTGGGATGGCCTAATTTCTGAGAATGTGATTCCTTTTTACCATACTATTTTATTCGAATAATTAAATTTAATTATTGAATAAATAGTAACAAACAAAAAAATAATAGTCCAACACCCTGTATAGAAAGGAAAAGGGAAAATTTCAAGGAAAATCGCTTTCCATTTTGCCACTTAATAGTGTGATTCTATCATATGTATATACATATTTATATTAATTGTAGTTATTTAATAAAAAGTAACTAAAATAATTTTTTTTGTTGACCTAAGTAGGAATTGATTTATTTTTTTATATTACTTGTTATCAATCAAGCTTCCCCTGCTTATGTTTACCAAGTCAAATTCATTTCAATATGGTTCAGTAACTACTTTTGTTCAATTTTGACATGAGATTCATGTTATTTTCAGCTGAAAATTGTAAGGATTTTAGTCTCCATTGCTAATACGGAATTAAATTCATTGATTGTCTTCTCATCCTCTCCATGGTTCCAAACGTTCCATCGAAATTCAATCTTTTTGTCATATGCTATAGTCCGAACTAATTTCCAAGCACGCCCACAATTCTTATAGTACTTTAACAGTACTCACAAAGTTAAGGATATCAATAAGTATACCTAATCCTGTCTTTGCTTTTGACAAGTACCAATATGTACGACACATCAATAATGTCTTTACTTTTTAGAAAGTTATCGACTTTTTTGTGACCTACTCTAGCTGCTTAACATGATGTTTTAAGCAAGCTTCTTTAGATTTTTTTTTTCAAAATAAATTATGTATGTGCACTGGGCATATATATTTTTTATCCGTTGTTGGTATGTTTAGCGAAAAAAGAAAAAGTAAGCAAATGACCTTTTCTTATGTATAAGAAGACTCTAACCTCCTTGCTATTTATATCATGCAAACTTTTTACTTCCTCTTGAAAACTTGAGAAAACAGTTCCCCGACTGTCAAATAAGACTCTTGCACAGAAATTCTATCTTTACAGAGCACCCTATGGAATGGTGGCGTCCGTTAGCAATACCACCGTTCGTTTTGCACAATATAGTTTAAAAGCATAGCTTGTGTGTTAAATCATAACTTGATTTGGGGTTGGAAAAATGATTGAGTGTGAAGTGGCGAATATCCGGAGGACAGAACTCGCGACCTACAGATTCGTAAACACTTAACATACCACTAAACGAAAGTGAACACCTCTGCCAGGAGGCTGTTACTGGCTTATATAGGTACCACAGCTACAAGTGTCAGATGATTGACCCTGGCTGAAAGATCTCAGTACTGCAGTTGGTGTGATTACATATCTAAAGTTGGTACAATTTTAGATGCTTTCTGCAGTCAAAGCTTGCTTTTTTTAGATATCTTTTTTCTTTTAATATGACTTTTAGTTTTCCAGAATTTGGCTGTTATAAGATCCATAATCGTTACTCTTAACTTAATTCAGTAGCGCAACAGCCCATGAGAGCTAAGACCTACTGTGCACATCTCAGTTTACCTAAACTTGGGCCCTGAGTTGCATTAGCAGATGTTCCGGTCAGGTGGTCAGTCTGACACGAAGCCTCCAGTGTTAAGTGTCCAAGCAAGTTTGGTGCTCATTTATCGACCCACTGAAGGGATGAAAGACTGAATCAATCTTGCCCAGCCCGAGGTTTGAACCTCGGACCTGTGGAAGCGCGATGCACTACCACTCAACCACTGAACTTCAATTATTACTTTTATCAACCACTAAAATCTGAATGATCTTTCGCTCTGAAAAGAGCTATTTGTTTTAATAATAACAAAAAGTATTTGAATAAATCTGTAAAGAAAATGTACACGCAAGTCTGAACGAATTTTCAACATATAAGACTGATTTCGGTCTGGAATTTAGTAAAAACTCTGCTGCCATCTTGCACTTCATAAATTAATATTTGAAATAAAAATAAGGGAGGCTTTGCCAAAAGAAACAGAAAATTATCAAAGAACATGGAAGCTTTGTTTGAATGACAAAACGTAAGCAAGGGGATAATCATAGAAAAAAGGAAATCGAAACTACCCCATAACTTGGGAGAAAATGCTTAAAACCAATTTTTTTTTGTATGAGTGTGTTTGATAGAGAGGTTAATATAGTATTAAAATAAAAGCCAAAAATGAGTTTTAATATTTAGATTAATTTTTCACTTTTTAAATGGCCTTGGTTTTATAGTATCCAACTCCCCTTCATTGATCCCCATTTTGCGACCCGCGTGAGATATCTGTCACATGTATGTGGCCCAGTGGGTAAAAAGGTTGAGTACTCCTACTGTAGAGTCTTATTGGATTGAGCCTTATTCTGAAAGAAAAAAAAAGGTAATGTGAAGCAATTGCTTCTTCTTTTTTCTTTTTTAAAAAAAATTACATTTTAGATAAAATTTTAATTGCAACAAAATTCTTAAACTAGAACATGTACTCGAGAGAATACATCTTAATTTAACATTTCTTTAATGAATATAATTTTATAAATATTTTGATAACCGTTATTTAACATACAAGCATTATTTTTAGTAACAATTACTTATCTCTTCTATATAGACTTCCAAATTTCGAAAGTCATTCTTTCTTCGTTCTCACGAAGCATCTTAACTTTCTTACAGTCAAATGCATGATTTCTACTAATTTTTTTTTCTTACACATATGATGTGCAATAATTCTCTTAAATTTTCTCTCGAGGGATTTTATTTAATTCATAATGGCATTAAACCCTCAAGCACATCACATGATTATTAATTTTTAGTTTATCTGCGCCTAGTGAGAGATGTATCGTTAACCACAACTTTATCTGCTAAAAATTGCCATGTTTACGTTTTTTAATACAAGACTAGCTACATGTCTCGGCATTGCACAGGCTTTCTCGACTTTAATAAATTTTCCCTTCCCTTCACAAAATCAGCACTTCCATTATTCTTTTTCAAAATTACTTTGTCCCCCCCCCCCTCCGCTTAGCCTGGCTTTGCTCGGGCTTTTACCGAGTGTATAACTTAAAATACCCTGTTTTGAAATTTTCTTAGCTTCTTTTCTTTGTCAGACAGATTTCTTTCCCCCGGTGTTGCCTAGAACATTTTTGAATGCATAACATATTGTCATGGAAATTCCCCTTCCCCTCTCGCTATTAACCCTTCCTGGTGAGTGTGATTTCTTATTAACGTCATTACAAAATTCTCGTGGTAATTTCCCACAATTAATTATTACTGCTCTTTTAAAATTTTGGCTACCGCTGTTAAGAGGAGCGATGCACGTTAAATCTGTCGAGAGCTTGCGTTGGTGTGGTATGGTGGTTAGGAGAGATGGGTGCCAGCTCAAGTCTCATTCTCGTCACTTGACCATGGTTCAAAATTTCGAAGTCCGTTGCCAAAAGCCCTCGAGTAGGTGAACAGTGCGACTTTAATATGCACTCACTCAATTTGCAATTTTTTAGCCTTCGGAAACAAAAGGTACCTTTTTCAAAAAATAGTTGTATGTTGAAAAAAGAGAAAAAAGAAGAAATTTTTATACAAAACTCCACAACTATATTAAATGTTGAATTAAAATTGTGAGCATTTTTTGACAGTAAAATGATCACCAGTAAAATATGCAATGTAATTTGACAGTTAAATGACACAATTTTCCACCAGTAAAATTACTTGAGTCTAGTGAAATATTTTAATTACATACAGATATATAAATATCTACATTTGTTGTGTCTCATGAACTCCAATTTCTTTCTTCTTTGGCTTGTCAAAGAAAAACACGAAAAACCCTTTTATATATTTCATTGTTCAAAACATTTTTGATGTGGCTACATGAAAAGAAAACGATTAAATTTTTTTTTCTTCATTTACTTTATTCGTTATTATTTCTTTTGCCTTAGCTTCTGGGTAAGTAAGAAAGAGTTCCGAAAAAATGTTGAGACTAAAAAAAATGTGTAAACATATATTTAAAAGAGACTTAGAAAAGACAAATTCATGCTCTCTCAAGTGAAACCTCCCAGTTCCTTTCAAGAACCGAAAGAAAAGGGGGAAAAAAAAAGCAAAATCGCACTGACTGATTCAAAAAGCAAGCTATCCTTTGCAAGTAATGAGCCGCAAAGGACTATTATTGTATGTGACCGAGATTGGTGGAGAATGCTTTGGAGAAAACCGCTTCCAAGAAAGAAGGGGGATACGCCTACTTGCAAGACCTTCCTGATTTGTTAGAACTGAAGCATTAGATAGAACAGGGATGGTGAACCGTTTTGAGGCGAGGGTCAAATTTTGTTCATATTTTTTTTTTTTTAGTACTTACTAGCTTGAGGGTCACTAATGCCTATTTGCACCAGAGTTAAGTTTAAAAATGTTTAGCTGAGTATTTTTAAAACTAACATCTCTCTTTAAAATTCATTTGGCTTGACGGATAAAAATGGACGTGCTTTGACGATTTACAAATTTTTAGTAGGGTTAAAAGTTCTTAAGAGGCAGTGTTTCTCAAACTGTGGGGTGCGCCCCTGCGAGGGGGCGCGAGACTCTTGAAAAGTCGAAAAAAAAATTATTTTAAAAATTATTAACTTACTGAAAGAAAACAAATAAATACATTCTGACATAATAAAAAATAAAATCTCATTTACTACACTTATAAATGTATCAGTAGGGCACAATCTATTTTATAATTAACTTAACCATCTAAGTTAAGGACAAGTGTAATAATTACCAGTGACCCTATGGATTTGTCATATATAAAATTATATGCCAACATTAACACTTATCTTGATAATTTGTACGGTTTATAATTAATTTCTTAATTGACGATTAAAAATTATGCGATTCGCTCTCCAATGCCCCCGTTTTGCACTTAGGTAAGCGCATGTGGTGTATTGAGGGGGTGGGTGGTAGAAAAGAAATAAATAATCAAATCCTCTGAAATAAGTGAATCCTTCGCAAACACTGTCCAGGTCAAGAAATTGCTTTCTAAAACCTTCGGAATAATTTTATGGATAGCAGTTCACAGAAAAAATTGTACTTCAGAAAGACGTATATATACGTCTGAA